ACCCAAGATTTTTGTTCAATAAAGTACAAGTGTTGATTTACTGTTCTATTTTTTTTATGTCCCTTTAAAAGAATATATCCAAGAAAATCTTAAATAAACCATTTTTTATAAAGACTTAAAGGTCTGTCGTTCCTTGAAAGAATCCATTTCACCCACTTTTTATGTTTAAAACCAGTGGTGCTCAACCGTGGTCCTTGAGGAACACCGTCCTGCATGTTTTGCTTCTCTGCTTTGACACATCCGATGTGAATGGACGGGTGATTAACAGATTTCTGCAAAACTTGAGGAAGTAATTAAATCACTGAATCAGGCGTGTTGGAGCAGGAAACAACTGAAACATGCAGGATGGTGTTCCTCAGGGACCAGGGTTGGGATCCGCTGAGGTAAACAAACACGTGTGGCAGTTGACATCCGATTATACATTTTTCTAACAAATTTTGAACTTAAGGACGCATAAATCACTGATATGATAAAAACATTGTACAGATTTAGTGTACTGGGAGGGGTCTAGTTTATCTGAATATCTTAAAAAAGACATTAAGCTAAGATGAGCAAGTATGTTAGCATTTTAATTTTGTAAGGGGTACTAAATGAAACCATACATTTATTAGTCTCAGAGTTGTAAAAATGTAACAAACTCATAACTTTTAATAAAAGCATCTTTTTTTATCAGTTGATGTTATGAACAACAATAATTCCAGGGTGAAAATATGCAACTAAATCTCTTTTAGTCTGATCTATTCCTATAGGTAATGATCTGTAAAACTCGTACGGGAAGCTGTGAGGGTAAAAAATGTTTCACTTAGTGAGTGGACCCGGCCATGCCAGGTGTTGGACGGAGAGGCGGTTGTTCAGTCGTTTCCCCAGGGGAAGTCTGGCACCAGTTAGGATCAGGAGGATGACCAGAGCTTCACTTGCCAACCTGGCTCTCGGTAAAATGTGAATGGACGACACGGACACACTCCTGACCTTCATGCACGAGCTTGGCCAGCAGGCCGACCCCCTCAAATGAGATCCACGAGCAGCTCCCTCCCAGGAGAGGAGGCTGGACTGAAAGCACATTCATTCTTTCTCTGTTGGCTGATGTGTAAAAATATCCACATAATGGTGCACACCAAAATAATAATAATAAGTTGGATTAAAAACATTTCCTTTCTGCATGCACCAGGAGCTGCTTCAAATACCTCCTGATGAGATGCTCATAAAAAATTTATTGAAGTATGAAGTCATTGATGGAAGCGTAAAGCCTAAATCAGATTTATTGTAAATCAATGAGTCCAGTTCAAGGAAAAACAAAAGACTTGAAATCCTGTATACTGCTAATCTGCAAATATACATACACATAATTATTTTTACTTCGGCTATGTGCACGTACAGCAAGGAAAATTGTGTCAACTATCACAGTAAGGGATCCAAAAATAGAGCCTCGTCCAACTGAGAATTGCATTTGCAAGCACACAAAGGCCCATGATAATCTTTTAATTTTAGGAAAGAGCTAAGCAATTAAAACAGAAAACACAACAAAACAGTCTGTGGCCGTGTAAGCTTCTTGGTAACACAAAGGGGCTTAGGCCAATCCTTGTGCTGTGACAAATAAAAGCTTTGATACGATGGTGTTTATAGGTCTGAAGTCCCCCAAAAGATGGACGTCAGTGATGTTCCACAAGGAGCTGCTCTGACATCATCTGTCATTTTACGTCTTTTAACAGAAACTAACTGTCTGAAATCTGGCTGCACAAAAAGATTTTTAAACATATATTTTTTTTACAGATTTATACAGATAATATTGTTAATATTATGATGGGGAAACAAAGATTTACTCTAACAATGAAGCTGAAGAGAGTCAACAAAAACTAATAATTCTCACGTATTTCCTTTAATTTTGTGTACGTTCAGGGGATTATATGTTTTACAGCAAAAACATACCGTATTTTTCGGACTTTAAGGCGCACTTAAAATCTTTTAACTTTCTCAAAAATCGACAGTGAGACTTATAATCCAGTGCGCCTTATGTATTAATTCTGGTTGGGCTTACTGACCTCGAACCGATTACATGTGGTGCACAGCACTCAAAAATCTGTCAGAATGAACTTGTTTCACTTAATGCGCCTTATAGTCTGAAAAATAAGTGTTTTTTTTAATAACTGCATATTTTTAGTGCATTTTTCTATCAAATATCAGGTTGTTTGTGCACGCAGGTATTCCTGGCAGTCACAGGTAATTCTTAAAATCCCCTCCATTTCTCCCTTTACTGACATTTATAAGATTTTACGAGCCTCAAGGAAACAAACGCTCGTCTATGTCTGTTGACAGTGAAATCTTTGGTGGTTTGATTATAATAGAACGCTTTTAAGAAGAGAAAATGACATCTGGATGAGCAAAGCAAAAAAAAAAAAAAATCTAAGAATTGAAAGAAAATTGTCTTGCACGCAGCGCATGGTAAAATAAATAATAATAATTTTAAATCTGCCGAAAAATAATATTTCAATTTTAATCAAGTATTTTAGCGAGTGTATGTAACTGACAAAATGGTCAAGTCTGAATATTTAATATTCATTTTCAGTAACAAGCTGCCCGATTTGTTTTGACTCAAATTTAACTGAAGTTCTGCAACAGCAACATTTACACCAACAATTTATCTTATAAAAGCAGTGGTTCCCAACTCTGATCCTTGAGGAACACCATGCATGTTTTACTTGTTTCTCTGCTTTGACACAACTGATTTGAACGAATGAGTGATTAACAGACTTCTGCAGAACTTGAAGTCGTTAAATCACTGAATCAGGCGTGTTGGAGCAAGGAAACAACTGAAACATGCAGGATGGTGTTCCTCAAGGACCAGTGTTGGGAACCATGGTGATCTATATATAATATATAGTTATTATTTTTATTAGGCATCACTCAGCTCTGCTCATTAAATTCAAACCAGTTTTTAAATCTATGGCAATTTAATTAAATTACAGTATAACTTATTTTCGTAAATATCCAAATACGCTTCTGACATATAAAGGCAGTATTTATTGTGATTCAATATAACATTAAAACACATTAAATTTGTATTTGAAAAAGCATTAGTTCATTTACAAGTTTATGAAGACACGCAGAGCATTCAGTGATTTCTTCATATTTCTGCCAAAATAATCATGTAACTGTAAACTGATGAGGGTATTAAAGTTTCTATAAAATAAATAAATAAATAAATAAATAAAAGCCTGATTGATCTGTGAACAAAGAAAAACTGAGTCATTGCAAAGCTAGCTAGATAGCTACATAAGCGTTGCACATTAGTTGTAAATGAAATGGACTTAAAAAACTTTTTTGACAGTTTCAAACTTCAGCATAACTTTTACTAAATTATCTGTATTTTAAACTCATAACAACCGAAACTTATCGTTCACTGTTGGGACACTGCAGATGGCAGCGCTGAGTGATACCTAATAGAAACATAGTAAATTTATCTAATTTATTTATTAAAAAAAAAAACATTATGCAAAAACAGTTAAAAATCTGAACTATTTTTGAGATGTTACGTTTAAATGTATTTGATTTAACTCTTTATAATGTTTAAATAGTTCAAAATATATTACAAATAAATTGACAAAACTAGAAAAAATATTGGAAATTATTTAAATTTGGACTAGTAAAACAATAAAACATGCTCATCCATGTTCAAAGTGACAGCAGGTGCTCACCCATAATGCAAGAAAATGTGACAAACGAGGTCTTGCACATTTCATTTCTGCCTCATTTATCATCACCAGCAGCTTTATGGTGCTGGACTTTATTCTGTAGCTGAAGATGTTTTCATTTCCATCCAAGGAGCTTTCTCAAATCAGAACAGGTGAATTAGAGCTCCGTTTATCCAGCTGTGCTCAGATGAATCTCACTCCCATCCCACTGGGTGGTCATTACAGTGTTAGCCCGGCTCACAGACAGAAGTTTACATCTAACACCTGAAAATGTATATCACAGGAGAAATGACCCTAATGTTCAAATAAAAGTTTTAGGTCTCTTTCATAAAACAGTACAATAAAAAAAACCGCACAGATGCAGCCAGACACGTCCCACACAGATGTGGGCTTTTAAAATTGAAGCAACCATCGCAGAACAAAGAGGCACGGAGCAGAACTCAGCTGGGTTGATGTGAAGCACAACACATTAAATGTGTTATGGACATCTGCCTCATATCGTTTTTTTATAACATGGTGAGTTAGCTTAGCGGTCGTATGATTTTCAAACTAAATATGAAGTGCGTCATCATCTATCTTCCCTCTGCAATTACTATTTTTGTTGTGGTCGCACAGACCTGGTGGCATCGCTTCATCGTGCTAGCTGCAAAGCTGGCTCGACTTTTCACGACAAGCGTTTTGGCTCTGTTACTACACTAACGTGCATCAGCGGTGGGTTGGCTTCAACCCTCCTCACCACCGTGGTCCATGCAGAAACCACAACCTTTAGAAAGGAGTTTACAACAAAGTTTTTAAAAAGGGGAGATATAGTCTGCAGACTATATTTTGAACATGTTCAAACAAAATAAGCACATTATTTGCTAAATTGCAACTCTTTGTTTCATCTCAAGGAAACTGGTCGGAGGTGATTTATGCGCCGAAGCTCCAGAAGCTGCTGGGACTGTCAGCAGATCATCCCGCACGTGCTTCATCTCTGCGGCCACGCAGAGCCGCGACCCATGAAGTTGGAGCGTCTTCCTGCATCATCAGAGAAGAGGCTGGACGCGTGCTCGTGGAGCGCCGTGCGCAGAGACCACCATGTCCCTGAAGCCGGCTGAGAGTGAGGCCAACCCGAGGCAAAGCCGAACCACCTTCAGGACACCATCCTACAAGGGAGGGGGGGAAGGAATGACTCTGCTTATTGCTCCCCACTCCTCCTCCTCCTCCTCCTCCTCCTCCTCCAGGTCTCAGGACGCAGGACAAGCCCTTTCCCGCATCAAGGCGGCGCAGCAGCTAAATAATCTGAAGGACGCCCCCCCGTCACCCCCTCACCTGGCATATCGTCTTCAAAATCCATGTCGTCCAGTCCCTCGTCTCCATTACTCAGCGAGCCCGGCATCTTTATCTCATAGCCCCCCGAAGCCCCTTTCAGGCTGGGAACACCGAGTTAACCCTGCGCGCGCCGCGCGGCTCTGTCTGCTCTCCGCTGTGGGGGGGTTTTAATTAAAAATAATAATAATCATTTTTAATTATTATTTTTCCACTTTGTTTAGGTTCAAGAGAATTAAAAAAAAGGAACATTTACATATTTTTCCCACTGATCTCTATCCAGGTCTTGCAGACTGAAAAATAAGAAAGACAAAAATGGAACGCACATGCCCAGATTGTGACGTCTGGTCTGTTGCCATGACGATGCATCCCATAGTTTCTCCCTTCAACTAGTTAGTCATACTCTCCTGGTTACAACTCCCAACTAGTAGTGTGCCAAAGAAAAGAAAGGAGAAAAAAAAGAGCATTTTGTGCTGGTGGAGGAGCAAATGTGGAGGAAAAGAGAAAACAGCGGAGATAAAATATATAACATTTTGGGCTTAATTAGATTATTTAACATCTAAAATATAAAATATACCATCGTAACAGAAATAAAGAAAAGAAAAAGAAAGCACGTGCAGCAGTGATTAAATGGCTGTAGGAGGAGTCTTGACTTCCGGTGCTCTGTTGTCATGGTTACCACAGGTGTCGACCAGGACAACTTTCCGCTTTTAGAGCATCACGAAAAGAAAACAGCAAAGTGCTGGAAGGTGTCTCAGCTGCACAGACAGCAAGAGTTTTGTCCCATTCTTTAGTGTGGACCCACGTGGTTCTGTTGGAGCCCACAATTCAAACAATTACATCATCCAGTGACTTCAAATTAAAACTAAAGGCTGCATCAGCTAGATGTTGGCTAGATCAGCTAAAGTTCGAGGCAATTGAATGTTCGCTAAAATCATTAAGAGCTAAAGCGGAAGAGGATAAAAATGAACAAGTCTGCTGAAGCTAATTTTATACAGTTTGTTTTTTCATTCAACCTTTATTTAGACAGGTAAGTCCCATTGAGCCTCGAGGACTCATTTACAAGAGAGACCTGATTTCAACAAAGAACGATGACAACAATGGACAACAGCAACAGATAGAAAAGGCAGATTTTTTTTTTTTTTTTTTACAAATAAGATGGAAAAAAAAATTCTTACAGCCACTTAGAGAGGACAAGGTCGAGAGCTTCAGATCTTTTTGTAAGATATTCCAGGAAACAGGAGCGGAGTAGGAGAAGGCCCTTTTATCTAGTTCAGTCCGCACTGAAGGGACACTGCAGGTAATAATGTCCTGAGAGCGCACGCTGTAACTGCACTCACAGAGACATGTAGGAGGAGATGTATGAAGGCAGCAGACCAAGAAGTGATTTAAAGATGAAAAAGTACCAGTGGGAGAGTCTGCGTGAAGGTAATGATGTCCAGTTAACCAGTAAATACTGGGTGCAGTGGTGGGTACGATAGTTACAGCAGTTATGAATCTTAATGCAACATCTGCAGGGTGCTTGTAGGAGCGTTCATGCAAATAATATTCCGATTTAGAACAAGTTTGAGGTGGAACAAATCAGACTGGATGACGTTGAATGCAGATTGCAAAAGCTGGAAAGCCTCAGTAACAGTTTTAGCTCGACAATAAACAACTGTGTCATCAGCGTAGAAATGTTTGGATGCATCAGGGATGTTTTGACCTACATTACCCATGTTTTAAGGAACTGAAGATCATAATGGATTTAATGATATAAATTAGGGGTGCACCAATAAATCGGACGGCTGATTTATCAGCCCCTATTTCCTTAAATTTGGAAAATCAGCCGATACACGAGAAACCGATTTTACAGACTTTTTTTTAGTTTTAACAATTGTCCGAAATTCACTTATATTTCAAAGCACTACGTCATGGCCAGTTAAAACAAATGTGTATTGTTTCTAGGATATTTGGGTATGTTTTTCAATCAAATAAGATTGGAAAACTGAAGGTGCATTGTGACATATAACACCTGACAGTGTCGCTTAGAAAACAAAATCGGAATCGGCAGGTCAGCCTTTTTAGAAATTGTTGATCGGCCAGAAAACTGTAATCGGTGCACCCCTAATATAAATATTTTCAAGACTAAGTTAAGTTCTGCATGCTTTGATATAGTTTGAATGGCTAAAACAGCAAAAGCCACGCAATTTGATTTAGAACAGTATATGGGGGTCGCGGCCCCTCAAAAAGCCAGATTTTCGTTTTTAAATAGCAAAAAAAAAAAATTCTAATATAATTTTTTAAATTACTGTGATAAAATTGAATCTATTTTTCAATAATTAGTTAAAAATATATTTTATAATAATATATTGAAATATTTTTCATCGTGCTCATCTTTCAGTTAAACGCATCAAGCTGCTTTAATCTTCAAGCACAGCAAGGATGAAATGAAGACGTGTCTAAAAAGACCGAAGGAACCGACCAGCAGCCATGCTGTGGTGGAAACAGCTGCTGCAAAAACAAAAACAAACAAACAAACAAAGAACTTGTGGCCAGGTAAAATTCAAAGGTATGAGGAAGCATGCATTAAGGCTTTACAGTCGAACAGAAAAATGGCCACGATCGCCCGAACTGCGTCCTCTGTGCGGGACACCGTCACAAACGAGTGTTTAAAACCTTCGAAACTTCAGCTCCACTTGAGTGGGAATATAAAAGTGTTTAAAACATGTTAAGTCAATATTTTTATGCTCAGCAGCTGTAATAATTAATTAAATATAAGGAAAAAAAGCTAAAACTTTCTAAAAGTTGACGTTTCTTTACATATTTTGTAGCATCGTTTGTGGGTTTGCGAGCGGGGGCCTCGGCCAGAAGCTAACGCCGTTTGGGAACGCCTGGTTTAAACAACTGAAAGTTATAGAAAAAGATTTAACTAAACTTTAAAGTTAAAACAAGCAAAACAAAAATGAACAAAAGGGTAGCCGTTATTAAACACACGGCGTGTTGTTGGAGTTAATACTCGAGTAATGGATTTGATTCCACCTCATAATCCCATTTGATGTGAATGTTTCCTTCTCTTTCCTAAAAGCTAAAATTAGCTCAACAGTAGCTGAATAAATCAAAACTTGAGCAAGTATGATGAAGCAGATAAAAATAAAAAATAAATTGGGGGGGGAGGCTTAAAGTTCATTATTACAAGTGTAAAACTTACAGAAAACAAGCACATTATGAATGTTTTCATAAATTACATATATTCATGGTCAAGGTTTCTTTGTCATTCGCGCCACAAGTGGTACATGTGACTGTGAACGAAACTGTGTCCCAGTTACGTCTAACTAAAGTAGAACTTGTAAAGAAAAACTGCAATCGGATCCTAAGATATGAACTAAGAATACACGAAGCACTAACGGTACAAAAACAATACACTGAACAGCAGCACGAACATGAGTCTGTGTGAGCAGATGAGACGATTACGTCATTAATGGTGACAATAGCAAAAAGTATGCTGGTGGGGTTAGATTTGTAAAAATGTGCAGAAAAAAATTAAACAGCGAAACAAAACTTAAAAGAATCAAATATGGACAAAAGATTACAAAGAATTAAATTAAAACTACATTATAACTACTGTGTGAGAGACAAATGGAAGCAAAGCAACCAAAAGAAAACAGGACACTTTTTTTTTTAAGAGTGGTGCAAGCTTTAATCTTCATCCTCATCCTCCTCCTCCTCATCCTGATTAATCTGGAAGTAGCGCAGCTCGTAGCTCTCCTTGGTGTTGGCTACAACGCGCAGCCAGTCCCTGAGGTTGTTCTTTTTCAGATACTTCTTGGTGAGATACTTCAAGTACCTGAAAAAAGAAGAGGGCATGCAGTGAGGGATATGGGATGGGGCGAGTCAGGAACAATGTTTTAAGGTCCATGTTAATCTCTTGATAAATATTCCATTCCTTTGGATTAAGAAAGGCACTTGAAACACAATTACATTTTTTTTAAATACTGTATTGTTTTGTTTATATTATTATTAGCTTGATTAGTTGATTCATTTGATAACAGCTGACTGAAGTGACTTCTTCCAAAAATCACGTAGAGCTCCATTTGACTCATCGTCGCCCTCTGGTGGTGAAATCTAAGCATAGCATGTGTTTCTTAGAAGCACTGATTCATTCAAACTTTATTTTACAGATTAGTCTCACTGAGTCACAATATTCTTTTGAAGAGAAAGGATGCTACATAAAAACAAGCGACAACCTTCATTTGAACAAACTTACATTTTATGAGAGAACGCTGAAATAAATGCTTTGAGAAACATCTACTGATACATGAACAAAAACATTCACATTACACTAAAATAAAATATATTTGTTTCTGCAAGAACATTTTAGCTGCTAGCATTTTTGTTTTAATAGAACATAAATAAAATTTGACAGAATTGTTTCTTTTTAGGGCCACAGTAACAGTTAGAAACCCAAACATCTTGACGTCTACATCTTTTAAAGACTACGTCCTGCACCCATCAAACACACATCAGCTTTAAAAAAAAAAATCTTTAACCTTAAATAATAATCAGATTTATTCACGTAATATAAAACAATAATTAAACGGCATACATTTGAAGCTTTCTTGTTGTTACAGCAAGATATAAGTCCCTAAATAATTATTTCTTAAGCATAAAAAAGGCAATTCCACAAATGTAAAGATAAAGCCTTTAACATGTTATCTTTCACACGATGTGCGAAAGCCACATTCACATTTTTATGTATAACAACTAATAAATGCAAGATCCCGGGTTCCCAACCCGAATGTCACTATTAAACCTGAAGCTACACACTCTATTCAGTTTTCATCCTTATATGCTCCTAAAAACAGAAATCAAAATATATACATGCTCTTTAGTTCCATGTGCAATTTATGCAGCTTATACAATTCTTTACTTCAGCACTCTGCAAACCCTTTTCACTGTTTTAACTAAAGTTTTGTTGTTTTATACCAATAAGCTTTTGCACACAAAACAAATGCACGTCAGTGGATGCGTCAGCCGATTCTGTTATTATACGGGACAACACCACAGACAAATGTTGCGCTTCGTACCTCTTTGAGAAAGGAACCTCCGAGTTCACAGCAATTTTACTCTTGCTCCTTTCAATGGACACCACACCGCCTCCGAGGTTTCCGGCTTTGCCGTTCACCTTGATGCGTTCCTGCAGGAACTGCTCCTGGATGTGGTCAGGACACATGCAGGAGTTGGGAAACATGGCAAGTAAAACTTTATTTATATAGCGCTGAAGAGAAAAATCACAAAGTGCTTCGACAAACAAAAGCACAAAACTAATTTCACAAAAGCAGATTTGAAAAGATAAGTTTTTAGCTGAAGCCACTGAGTCCGCTGATCTGAGAGTTTGAGGAAGGGAGTTCCAGAGTCTTGGGAGCGACAGAAGAAAAGTCCCTGCCTCCTTTAGTTTTTAGTTCTGTCTGGGGGACAATCAGCGGGTCTTGATCGCAGGACCTCAAAGACCTGATCCGGGTGTAGGGATGGAAAAGTTCAGAGATGTAAATTGGTCTGTCCACGCAGAGCTCGCCAAGTCAAAACCAAAATCGTAAAATCCACTCGATGATTAACTGGGAGCCAATGAAGTTGCTTTAATAGTGGAGTTATAAGACAAAACTTTTGAAGAGCCAAATAGATGCCATCAATGGAGGTTGTGAAAATTAAACGTTGATGCAAACGTGAAAGTTGACTTCTTACACTGACAGGGAATGTGTCAAGCTTTAAAGCTGCAACAAATCCTTAAGGTTTTCAGGCTGGGAACTGAATGGAAGTTTTACTGAATAGTGCAGTTGTTCATTCAACCTTTACTTATGCAGGCTAGCCTCATTGAGCCACGAGGATTCGTTTAATTTACAATCTGCGTCTGAATGAATTTACTCACAAAGTTAGCAGCATCCATGATGCCATCCTCAACAGGGTGAGTGCAGTCCAGGGTGAACTTCAGCACCTGCTTCTTCCTTTTCCCACCTGGTTTCCTGAACACCACCTGCTTCTTCTTCTGAAGCACAACATGTAAAAAGTGACTCAAACTTGATCAAAGTGAACTGCTCATTTAAGCTAATCGGGTAAAATCAGCACAGAAAACAGGATGAAGATGGTGGCAAGCTATAACCAAGTTAGCCAGCAACGATAAAGCATCTATTTTTTTGTATTTTCCTGATAATTAGAACAGGTTTTTAACGCTAACCATTGCAAGCTAACGCTAGCATGCCATGCTACCCGAACGTGCTTGCGCTAGTAAAACAATAACCGACTCTGAAAAAGAGGCTAAAACAACAGCAGCTTCAATACGACGGTTCTTCTGGCACTAACGCGCACATCGGTGCAAACACAAGCTGAAATGTGCCACCTGTGTTCACTTTATTTAGCGGTGTTTCTACTTACTATCGGGGCCATGATTGCAACTGTAACGTTCAGGAAACGGGAAGAAGCCGGAGGCTGCGCAGGAAAACTAATAACCGCCAGAGAAATCGATTGGGTCCAAGCTCAGAAGTTGATTAACTAGGACTGTGCCTGTTTCTTATTGTTCTTTTTTTTTTTTTTCCCCAGTCAAACTTAAAGTCTGCATGTTTGTGCTGTTTTAGCCATTCATACATCAAAACGTTTAGCTTGTTTAGTAGATGGATGCTGTGACTTTTTATTGTTTGCAACTTTTATGCTGTTTAATAAAACAGTTGACTTTATTTATAAATATTATAGAAATACATAAAATCTCTTCCGTTCATTCAAAAACATTGTTTTCTTGAAAGTCGCTTCTGTATAGTTGCTCTTTTTGGTCCTCGGTTCAAATCCCCGCCAGGGGCCTTTCTGGGTGGAGTTTGCATGTTTTCTCCAGGCACTCCAGTTTCTTTCCACAGACCTAAAACATGCATGTTAGGCTGATTGATAACTGTCAATTGTGCCTAGGTGTGAGTGGGTGATACGGTTACAATACAGTTGTTTTTGTATTGAACGTTTTTTTGAATTTATCATGTCCTGGATGACTGAGAATCTCTGTGGTGGACCGTAGACCAGTCCAGTGTGTCCCCCGCCTCTCGCACAGTGACTGTTGGATATGGACACCACAGTGACCATCATGACCCGAAAAGGAAGAAGCGGGTAAAGATAATGGATAGATGGATGAAACCCATACATGCACGAGGTGAGCATGCAAAATCCACCCAGTGAGGCCCCAGGCCAGGAGGCGATCGTGTGACCCTTTCCCTGAGAGGTGCCAGCTGTAATCGCTGCTCCACTGCGCCGCCCTAAAAACATCCATCCGTTATCTTTCTCTGCTTCTTACTTTTCGTATCACGGGGGGGTCACTGGTGTCTGGAGCTAATAAAGAATTATGGAAAACAGAGACAAAGCTCACACGTTTTTTCTGGATCTGTAATTCAAAATTAAAACTATCAGAAAGTCAACTTTTTTATTAATACATTCCAAACGGTTAATCTGTATTACACAGCTTCTCTGAAAATAAATTAGTCGTATATGAATTAACTCTGCATTAAACTTATAAATTAGTCTAAAATGATCATAAAATGGCACGTGACACGACAAGTTGTCCCGTTGATTAGATTCCACCACAGTTTGGGTGGTTTGCAGTCTTTTCATCTTAGATTTATCCCTTTATCTCTCTCCTCCCAGTAGAGACAAGGTGCAGTGACTGTACAACAGTAGAAATAGAACAAATGTATTTCCAGTTTGCGGCAGCGATATTAAATGTCTCTTCTGAACTCTGGCCGCACTCGGAGGCTGGCATGAGGTGTGAGCTGTCAGCTGCCTGCTGGACAGACCCCATCAGCCGACTATTGAAGAGTTTCTGCATTGCTGCCATTCCTGCCGGGGGTAGCTGATAGCACAGCTGAAAGGTAAGACAGTGGTTGTCTGTTCTTTCCACAGAGCGGCCTTCTGCGTTTACTGTAAGTTTTGTTGTGGATGTGATGCTGATGAGAACAGTGAAGCGGATGTTTTATATCGTTGACACTTGTTGTAACTGAATCTGCAGGCACTTAACACATTTCTGCCAAGGTAAGATAAAAAAAAAAAAAAAGAAGAAGTTTAGCTTATTTCAACTAATGACCCACTCTGTGCGTTACATTGTTTAGCCTCTCCTCAAACCGCTGACATATTTAAAACCACGGCGCCGTTTTGTCATTGATACGCAGCTGTACAGTTTGTCATTGTGGACTCTTGTCTGTCTTCAGATGTCAGGGGGAATCTTCTCCAGCGTGGGGAACCCGTGCGATGTGGACTGCGCAAACGTCCACCCCCTGGTGTGCCACCTGTGCCACGAGCAGTACAAATCTCCATGTTTACTGGACTGCTACCACATCTTCTGTGCCCGCTGCCTGCGAGGTCGAACCAATGACTGCCGCCTCAGCTGCCCCCTCTGTGGGTAAGGGGACAGCACTTTGTGGTCCATCAGACTCACTTTAGGTTAGGAAACCTGAGCCATGAGACCCCATGTGGTGCTAATCCAAAAATCCTTCACAAAGTGAAAACACTGAGCCCAAGGTCAAGTTGGAACACTTTTGGTGGCAGATGAACTCTTCATTTGGGTCACAACCTCTGAGTTTGAGCAGAGCTGCTTGTCTGGATCCATTTTATTCAGGATATTCGATTTGTGTGTTTTGGCAGCAGATTTTAGGATGCGCCTTTGTTGGCCAGGTTAGATGATTCTGAGTGGCTGCAGCAGCTGCACCCTCACTCCACTTTCATTTAGCCTTTGGCCCCAAAGCTGAAAAGGGACTAAAAGTTTTAAGTCCAGTCACATTGCAAACAAAGCAGACTGGCGTTTGGCGGCAGCTCGGGGTAATCAGAAGCAGACACATGACACCGATCTGCTTAATTCCTCGTTCGGCGCTCTTTGCAGTCACCTTCAGGTCAGCTGGATCAACTTCCATCAAACATGAGATGTAGAGAAGTGGAGCGTTCTCATCGTTACCCTGATTTTTGACTCATTGTTCTCCGCTGATGATAAATACTATTAAATTACTTGAAATTTATTTGACGTTGTTCCACACGCTGGTAATTTTTTTTAAGCCAAGATCAGTGGAACAGAACCGAATCCCAACAATTTTATTTTGTAATAATGCACAGAATGGGTAAATTCTCCATAATTTTTCAGCACATCTCATTGTAACAATTTAAAAGCACGATTTGAGTATTTTTTTTTTTTGTCGTTATAATAGCCGAACTTCAAGCGTTGTTCACATTTATCCACCTCACTATTTGAGTTTTACCCGTTTAAAAGTATATTATGTTTAAATTGGCAAGACAAAGTCCTGCCAACACTGCATTTATTTTATCTATAATACAAAAAAACAAGTTAAAGAATAAAAAACACAAGAATCTGACAGCTATAATACAGCCACTGTGCTCTGATTACTGTCGGGTAGTTTCTATTTCCATCCACGTCCTGCCAGCAGCTGCTCAGTCCAGAGTTATATAATCTGACAATTCAGAGCTCCACTGTTAGAACACAGTTATAACAACTAAATAAAACGGCACCAGTGGAACTGGATCAATACGATCTATGATGGACGATCTCTAAACCCAAAAGACTGGAGAACATGTTATTAATGTAGTAGAGAAAAATCTATTATTTGTCATTTTCTGTTAAAAAATAGGTATTTTGAACCCAACCTAACTGAACCTGGATAATTTCATTACAGTTCTGTGAACATAAATCAAGATTCCTTGCCTTTTATGTCAGAGTTTTAACCTAAAATAATCCAATGATAAGGAATGGGGGTGCACCGATTGCAGTTTTCTGTCTGATCACCATCTCTAAAGTCTGACCTGCCGATTCTGACCGATACAGATGTTGTTTTATAAGCGACACTGTCAGATGTTATAAGGTCAAAATGCACCTTCAATTTTCCAATCCTATTTTACTAAAAAAACATACCCTTGAACAAAATCCTAGAAACAATTCAAACTTGTTTTAACCGGCCATGAGGTAGTGCTCTGAAATATAAATGAAATTTAGACGATCAGTAAAATCCGTTTCTCATTTATCGGCCGATCTCCGATAATCAAGGGAATCGGGGCAGATTATTGGTGCGCACCTAATAAGAAATCGTGGCTATTTTAGCGCAACGTTAACATCAGGTAGTGTCAAATCATGCCTGTTAACATTGGAGTGTGTGACGTGGAGGAATTTCAGCTACTACCACACAAAACTTTAGCTGTAAAACTTACTGAGGTCAAACTATTTAGTTTGCTATGACTGATTTGAAGTTTATTAATATAGCACATGTAAAAACAACCACGGCTGACCATCTTAAATCAAACTGCCGTACAAAACGTAGAAGTCAATCTAATAATTACTTTCTGAGAGTTTCATTAAAATCATCCACGAGACATTTTGCCAACAGCAGACTTGGGCTAAAACATCCACCCTTGGCTAGTGGGTAATAACTAGACAAGACTGCAGCTGGTTTATAAACCTGTAGAAATGTAGAGCACATTAAATGCTGGTTATCACACTAATCTGGTAAGAATTAACAATTCTATTTAAAAGCAAACATAAATGTATTGTCACTTTACGCTGTATCGAGGACAGAGCTACGTAGCATTCATCAGATTATGGTGCGCTGAGGTGTTTAAAAAGACTCATTTGTTCCCCAGCACGTGTAAAACCTCTCCACATGCAGTAAAACAGCACAATCTGCTGGAAGCTCTCAGGAACACGACAAACTGAGTAACCAGATTCAGTTTTATTAATCACAGCCTCCACATTAATATACAAATAAGGTTTCCTTGATGGCTGCTATGTTTCGCAATACATTAACTCAAAATATATTTTAGTGCTTAAAGATGAAGCTTTTTGACGCAACAAATCCCCCAGCGTTAACTTGAAATGTAAAAAAAATGGTAAAAAATATGGAGCAACACAACACTGGGTCCAAATCTCTGGTTCAGTTGTCCTCCTGGTAGTTCTCCGTCTTCATGTCGTTCAGGCCCAGCTCTTCGTTCTGCTCGAACGAGCGGCTGTACTTCTCCACGGTCATCTCAGGGTCTGGATCGGGGGCGTAGACGTTCTGCATGTAGCTGTTCCCGGCAGGATCGTCCAGGACGACGTGCACGTCCAGTTCTCCCGCGATGATCTTGTCGAGCTTCTCCCCGAACTCGCTCAGTTTCTGCAGCCGGTCCGAGGTGCTGCTGTCCCCACAGACGAAGGGGTTTTTGGAGACGGTCAGGTCCTTGATGTCTTTCAGGAGGCCTTCCAGGGTTGTGAACTTCCCGCCCAGAGCTGCCATGCCCAGCTCGAACTCCAGCTCAGGGATGAGGACGGCACACGTCTCGGACTTGAGCAGGTCTCGGGTCATGTCTGAAGGGTCGGTGACGTGCAGGGTGATCTTGGTGCCCAGCTGCTCCGTGGCTCCGCCCGACTTCACCTCGTTGGTTCGGTGGCCGCAGCTGTCGCAGTTTGTGGCCATGATGACCACCTCCTTGAAGTGGGGGATCTGGACCAGCTTCATGTTGGTGGAGGCTGGAGCGTTGCACTCCGGGCAGTTTGTGGGGAACACCAGCACCTCGTGCCTCATGGTGTCCAGGTCGTTACCTGCTGGCTCTTCATCCTGGATGGCGTCATCATCATCAGCTCGGATCCCCAGCTGCTTGTCCTGCTGGACCGTCCGCTTGAACCGGGTCACCGTGAGAGCCTCATCCTTCTGAGGGGCCGCAGGGTTCTCCACAAAACTGTTCCCAGATGGATCTTCGATCACCAGCGTGAATTCGTTCTCGACGTCTTTGAGCTTCTGCAGCTTCTGGATGAATTCATCTATCCTGTGTGCCACTTCAGGGTCCGCTGCCCGCCTGCCAGGCTGGTCCTGCTCCAGACCCGCGACGGCCCGGTCCAAAAGGCCCTCGATGGTTGAGAGGGAGCCCTTCTGGGTAAAAGGAGGGATTTCAAAATCCAGCTCGGGGATCCTGGTGGTTGCGCTGTCCGCCTTCACGACCTCCCGGTTCAAGTCCTGCTTTGTTTTGACTTTCAGGGAGTAAGAAACTCCCTGATCCTGGATCCGGCCCGCGGACTGGATCTCAGTGTTCGACCAGCCGCAGTGTGCGCAGCTGAAAGAGCTGACGATTATTTCTCTAAAGAACGGTATTTTAGTCAGAAGCATGCGTGTCGTGCCGTTCTGGTAGCAGTTCATACACAGGCTTTCAATCTCGGTGGGCTGCCCGTCTTCGTCCTCCGCGTTAATATCCCGAAAAACGCCTCCGCCTCCTCCGCGAACATTTTCCTCGGAAATAAGAGACATTTTCAGCTTTAAATGAAACTTCTTCGGTGTATAAAACAGTTTACATGCGTTAGTTTGTAGACACAGATATCGCTGGTCAGAATATTCCAGATAACAGCTGACCCGTACTACCGGCACGTTGGTCAAACAAGGACTTCCGCATTTTCTTCTTCGACGGTTGCGTTGCCTGTAGATCCGTAAATCTCTTCTGCCGCCTTCAGGTTTTCTTAAGAACTGCATGAGAAAAAAAAAATCTTAAAACGGTCTGTTCTACTTAATATGTAGATTTTCAAATAACCATTGATTAAATGTTGACTTTTCATATCGAACAATTATTGTGAGAACGTTCATTCACACTTTTTTTTTTTGCCTGTTTTTTAAAAAAGTATTTCACAATCTAGTTACTTCTGATTTTAATGCTGTTTTAGTTATTCAAAAACCAAAACGTTCAGCTCATTCAGGAGATGGAATTCATGACTTTTATTTGTTTATACTTTTAAGCATATTTAATTTTATTTTGCAAATATTTTCTAATACACTTACACTTCAAATCCCTCAAAAACACGGCTCACTTTGAAATCTACTTTAGCACACTTCCTGGAGTTACTTTATGTGTGATGCAATCAGTTTGACTGACTATTTTGTGAAATGAGATTGCTTCTAAACTTGTTATAGTATTTACTAATCCTTATCTTAAAATAAGCTCGATGAGTTTTAAATAACCGTTTCTTTCCATTATGTTTATCTTTTATTTTACAGATACCAATCAATAATTAAAGTCAACAATGTCCTCCCACCAGAGGACCGCCTGCTGAAGTTTCTTGTGGATAATAACACAGACCTTGAAGAGACGGTGCAGTGTGCCAACTGCGACCAGGAAAGTAACAAAAAGGTACCGAAATGCACCCACGTCAGTTCAAGTGTCATAACAAAGGAGGTCTGGATTACCCGTTTTATTTAATCCAGTAACAATACCATAGACAGATGTTTTGTTTTATTTCATAAAGACATAATAAAAATGAAATAAAGGAATATAACTGAATTCTTAAACATAATCTAAGACAAGTCTTGCGTTGTTAGACCAAATAGATGGAGAGTAATGAAAGATTAAACGTCTGAAGAACTTAATATATTATTTTTATAGGAGGCTATTAGAATTTTATTTAGAATATACATTTTTCTTATTATAGCAAAACTTTCTATTTTTCAAAACTTTATAATCTGATGGAAATAAATGTAACAAGTTGATGATTTCCTCTGGTATTTAGCACAAAGTTGCTGATGGTAAATCTCCATTTTTTTACTGATTTAAAAAAAAAATCTTACCCGCTGAAGATATATGCACAGTTTATTTCAGTTTTCAGGTATTGTGTTTGATTTGAAAAGGATAATTAAAAAAAAAATCATATTTTATGCTGACTTTCTGTTTTGTTGTGTTTCCACAGGATGCAGGGATGATGTACTACTGCAACACTTGCTGTCAGCCACTTTGTGCGACCTGCAGAGAGCTGACACACAAGGCCCGAATGTTTTCCCATCACGAGATTGTATCGTTGGCCAAACGCACCAAAGCCAAACACAGAAAATGCTGTGAGTGCCACCTGCAATTTACTTCAGCGTAATTACACGCTAACGAGCGCGGTGCCTCGGCTACATGTTGATTATACTGTCGTATAAAGTGGTTGGTAATTTCTGTAAGTGGACTCAAATGTGTGGCGTGATTGTTTGGGAAAAAGTTCATGTGCCAACCAAAGCTTTCAGTTTGAACCCTGCTTGTCACAAACTCATGAAGTTAAAAGACATATTTGTCTCCACAGCTCTCCACGAGGAACCATACATCCTTTTCTCCACAGAAAATCAGTCGATGCTTTGCATCAAATGTTTCAGAGACATGCAAGTGTGAGTGAATTTTGAATTATCTATATTTTTTAAAAGCTCTTTCCTCATCTTCATCAAATACGCTTGGTGTTTCTGTTCTTTGGCTTCTGCAGGGAGAGTAGGACTCACTGCATTGACATAGAAACAGCTTATGCACAGGGGTGTGAGATGCTGGACCAGGCCGTGCTGGTGAGACACTCCTGCCTGCTCATGGCCATTATTATAACCCAAATAACAGACAAAATAACTGAAAGGAACAATGTGCAGTGATGCAATGCACTATTTATTAATTTTTTTTAGATTTTTACTGTGAAGTAAAACATTTTCCTGCTTCTGTTTTGCTCTTGTTCAAGCTCGAATGCCACAGAGTCCCAGTAAATGAGCAAGTTCGGTGCAAAAAGTACCAAAAGGCAGCTTGACTTAATTACTGGTTTGAAATGAAATCATTAAAAAATAGGCCTGGCATTTCAACGTGCTTTAATTTATATAATTACTTTGAGTAGCTTCAACTGTGTTATTTGCACACAGCAGCTTTTAATGAACATTTCTCCTCCGGCCTGCAGGTGGTAAAAGAGCTGCAGACTTCAACAGGAGAAGCGATCCACCTGCTGAGAGCGATGATTGGGGAGGTGCATCTGAACGTGGAGGAAGAAGAAAGTGCAATCTGTACTCTCTTCAACAGTTTACAGGTTCTATCATCTGTTTCCCTTCTCTGCTCTTACTATAAAAACTGCTTCCACAAATGTATGCGTTTTAAATGAATAATAGTGGAACAGATGTCAGAAGGATCAACAGCTTTAGTCACATCTAGCGATGTACATGGGCACTGTCATTTCATGACAGGTCAACAGTCCTCGTGATAACTGGTGATCATGTTAAGCCTCTCGTTTTAATGAGAGACAAGTGTCAGAACTCCCGTCTCTTTAGGGGATTTTAGCATGATGCGCCAACAAACCTGCGCTCAAAAGGTTGTTCTCACAAAATACATTGAGAATTAAAAGGTGCTTCCTGCAAACTAAACACAAGAAAGGTTATCCTGAATTATATCAAATGGTGCAGTTAAATAAAGTATGCATGAGTAGTTTTTGCAGATATCATAAAATGCAATTTTGGAACACTCTATATAAATAAAGCACTTTTGTCTGCATACTTCACTCAACAAATCTGAGTGTGAATATGTAATAATACATCAAAACTGTTGGACTTCATCCCAAACGGCTCTGTCAGTACATGGACGTTGCCGTTATAGACTTATTCTCAGGCACTTCGGCTGTTTCTGTAGGTAAACAAACACATTTGCAGCTGTTCATAAAGTTTGTCAACAAATGTTTACTTTGAGGACACATCAAGTATTGGGGGGGAAATGTGGATTTTGCTTCAAACATCCATCCATCCATCCATCCATCCATCCATCCATCCATCCATCCATCCATCCATCCATCATCTTCCGCTTGTTCTGAAGTCGGGTCGTGGGGGAAGCAGCTTGAGCAATGAGGTCCAGACATCTCTCTCCACAGCCACCTCTTCCAGTTCTTCAGGAAGACTTCAAGATGTTCCCAGACCAACCGAGGGACATAGTCTCTCCAGCGTGTCCTGGGTCTTCTCCGAGGTCTCCTCCCAGTCAGACATGCCTGAAGCACCTCCCTAGGGAGTCGCCCAGGAAGCATCCTTACCAGATGCCTGAACCACCTCATTTGGCTCCTCTCGATGTGGAGGAGCAGCGGCTCTACTCCGAGTCTCTCCCGGGTAACTGAACTTCTCACCCTATCTCTAAGGGAGAGTCCAGCAACCCTGCAGAGGAAACTCATTTCAACCGCCTGTGTCTGCGACCTCATTCTTTTGGTCACTACTCAGAGCTCATGACCACAGGTGAGGGTAGGAACGTGGAACAACCATACAGAGAGCTTTGCCTTACAGCTCAGCTCCCTCTTCACCACAACGGACCGACACAGAGTCCGCAACACTGCAGACGCAGCACCAATCCGTCTGTCAATCTCACGCTCCGTTCTTCCCTCACTCATGAACAAAACCCTGAGATACTTGAACTCCTCCACTTGAGGCAGAACCTCACCCTCGACCCGAAGAGAGCAATCCACCCTTTTCCGGCTGATGGCCTCAGATTTGGAGGTGCTTCAAACATCAAACATCAAAATGTATAAAACTACTTTTATTCTGTGCAGTATTCATATAGAACTTAGTAATGAGTTTCATTGTTCCATTTTTTTTTTATCTTTCTTACAGTGTTTGAATAGGTTTAGCATTTTATGAACATTTATTTAATGGAAAAAGTCATAAATGGCTTCTTCTTTTTTTTTGTTTTTTTTTTTGCAAAAGCTGCAACTTAGAAGTTAAAACTTTTAGCAGAAACGTGTAGCCCTCCTGACTGATCTGAATAATGCTCATCTAGTCTTTCAAAATACATTTTAAATTATTCTTGTGTAGTTTCCATAGACACCGCTCGGCCACTGGATGTCTCTGTTCATCCAAGTGTGAGGAAAGAGCATTTCTCTGCATAATGAGCAACCCAAAAGAGTCTGGCCCACACTGTGAAATATCACCATTTCTTTTTTTCACGATCGTGAAAACTCATTATGTATTAAGGAGCTCGAGGCCATTTTCACAGCAGTGTGAGGAATAACAGAGTTGTTTTTCTCACTTCTCATCTGACAGGAAAGACTAACAGAGAGGAAAAAGATTCTGCTGCGAGCAGCTCAGAGGTAAAACACATTTGTAAAAAATTCATGTTTCAAGATGAATTCATATTTGGCCACCATGTTTGCATCATGTGTTGTAGTCTCGCTGTCACCAGCTGATATGATACTTGTCTCTAGTGCTCTGAGCTCCACTGATCTGACTGGAATCATCTGCATCAGGATATATTTTTTAATTTTTACAAATCAGAGTCAGTCAGAGTCAGAGTTTCTTTATTGTCATTCGCACCTCATGTGGTACATGTGGTGGAGCGAAATTATGTACATGGGGTCCCAGTTACATCCAACAATAAAATGTATAAGAAAAACAGTAATAACATCTAAGATATGAACTAAGAAAAACATCAACTAAATATACACTAAGCACTCATAACATAAAACATTGAACATCAGCACAAACATGAACATGAGTCTGTGAGCAGATGTGCACGCATGAACACATCAACATTGAAACAGATCAGCAGCAACATGAAACAGATCAGCAGCAACATGAAACAGATCAGCAGCAACATGATATGTTTTTTCACAGTGATTATTCTAGTTAGAGATTCATGAGTCTAACAGCCTCAGGGTAGAAGCTGTTCCTCAGTCTAGTGGTTCTACACTTAATGCTCCTTAACCTCCTTCCTGAGGGGAGTGGGGCAAAAAGTGTGTGTGCTGGGTGAGTGGGGTCCTTCATGATGCAGGTGGCCCTCTTCCTGCATCTGGAGGTGTAGATGTCTGTGATGGTGGGGAGGCTGATTCCGACAGATTTCTGTGCAGCCTTCACCACTCTCTGCAAAGCTTTTCTTTCTGCAGCTATAGCGAGTTAAAAGCACTTGAGAGTGATAGTTTTAAAACCAGAGCCTCCAACTCGTGTAAAGATCCAGTTAATTAAAAATGAAGCCTCATGCAAAGTTCTGCTTTTTACAATTTAAAATTAAAACAATTGTTTTTACACAGTTTGCAAATCCATCCAATAAAGCACTTATTGCACACAGCCAAAAGCAAAGGAAGGAAACCATTACTTAATTATATTGTTTTGTCTGTACTGTTAGCAAAATATAATGAATAATTGAATGAATTTTAATGAAACTGTCAGAACTGAATCAGTGGAGTCAGCCTCGCATGTTTACGTTGGTGTGGTAGTAGCTGAGACTGACACCCCAAACCCATGCTCCAAGGGCTAACAGGTCGTGAGAGATATCGCAGTTTTACGTTATTTTCAAAGTTTGATTAATACGCCATCACTTTTCAACAGAAGGTGCAGCTTGGAGAGTTTAAGGATAGGCACACCTTTAATGCAAGATTTGTAACTGAGCTGTACGCGAGTTCAAAAAACGTTACAGTTATGATTTGTTGATTAAAGTGATGCAGGAAATGTTTTTCTTGTTAGACAAACAACAAACCCTCGTTTCACCGAGTGACTCCGCAGAGAACAATCTTCTTCATCATATGTCTAAGTGTATTTGGTTGCACTCTGCTGGCCAGCATCCTCCATCCTGATCTGCACCCCCACCTTCTCTACTGCCTGGAAACCATCCAGTGGTTGTGTTCCCAGAAGGATGTTAAAGGCTATTTGTGTCACACTTAATGTGCTCGTCTCTGCGTCTGTGCCTCCGTGTGTTTGTTACCAGAGAAGACAGATGAGCTCCTGGAAACACCGAGTGTTTGTGGTTTCACCTCCTGAGCTCAGTCCTTTGTGTGTTGTGGTAGGCATCAATTTGAAGGTGTAGTCTTACAAATGTGTGTGTTTCTGTGTGTTTGCAGTCAACATGAGGAGAAGGAGAAAGCGTTAAAGGAGCAGCTGTCACACCTTACTGCCCTCCTGCCAACACTGCAGGTGACGTGTTTCGGCTCGGCCCATGCTCAGAAACCATTACAGCATTAAAGACAGAACTGATAATACAATATTATAATGGTGGAAGTAAATGAATGAATATTGTTTCAGTTCGAGTTGTTTGTACTTGGCCTCAAAGGAGCCAGTGATTCTTGTACCTTTCAAAGGAGTCTTGATCCAGTTCTCCAGTTATTTTAATGGGTTTTTGCTTCTTTTTAACTAATTTTTCCCTCGTACTCGATCACGCTGTGTGAATAAAAGAACATGGAGCGAGGACAGGTGGAGGACAAAAGGAACAGTGTGACAAGCCGAAAAGCTTTTTTACTGCAGATGAATTGGATTATTGAGCACGCATCAGGATGTTTGGAAAATCAGAAAGACGTCTTTCAGAAATGGAGGATAATTGATGCCAGATTTGAGATACAGTTGATCGTGCGCAGTACGCCATTTTTCAACTAATAAGCTGTTGGAATCACCTTGTTGGTGCTAAAATACACATTTCTGACTGTTTATATGTGATTTTGTTGGTTGATTTTTACAGATTGAACTAAAGTAAGAAGCAAAAAAAGCTAATTTAAAATTATTTATTTGCCTAAATGGTAAATGGATTGCACTATATAGCACCTTTCTATCTGATCAAGATGCTCAAAATGCTTTACAACACAATCTGTGTCCTCATTTACCCATTCATACAGCACTCGTACTAGATCTGTACAAAGAATAATCAGAGCTTTATCACATTCATGCACCCATGGGACACACATCAGAGGCAATGAGAGGTTCAGTGTCTTGCCCAGGGACACTTCAGCATGTGACTGCTGGTGGAATCAAACCCCCAACTCTCGTATTGGAGGATGACTGCTCTAACCACTCAGCCAAAGATGCCCAGGGTGGTTGTTTGACTCTAAACAGGGTTTAGAGTAAACCTGAATGATTTGGGGGTCAGATTTTAATTTTAAACACAACATTCTTAAGAAAAGTGTTCAAGAAATTGACTAAAATTTTAACGAAGAAGTAGCCAAGTTGTTGAAAACCGTTCAAAAAGTCTAAAGAAAAAATTACCAGGGCCACATTTAAAATATTACAAGAAGCCTCGACTCTTTAAAGAAACGAGAGATGCCTCAAGATTTTTGCACAACACTGTAACAAGTCAAGTCTGTATCAGAGCATTTAACTGTGTGATGTGTGGTGGTGCTGTGTCAAACTTTGTTTCAGCCATGAAGCAACGTTGTCGTTAGAAACTGTATTTTTTGGCACCAATGTATATTTCTGCTGTAAATTTGTGCATTTTAATGGTTTATTACGATTCATGCTGTGGATTCATGCTTCAAGTGACCCTTCAGGATCTGCAGCTTTGTTTCAGTGGTAACTTCCTTTTTCATTTTTCGCCTTTTAACTTTCAACATCTGGTGTTTTTAGGTCCATCTGGTCACTTGCTCAGCCTTTCTCAGCTCAGCCAACAAGTTTGAGTTTTTGGATATGGGCTATGTGAGTATAACAACTGTATAAAACTGTTTGTTGTATTTTATGTATTATTTTACTTTTAAATGTAGTATCGGTGCAGTACAAGATGTAACAAGTGAAGACTAATTACATGAGCAGAGAGACGGATGAATTAAAAACAGAAACATTATGAGGCAGTAACCCTTTGGATCAGTGAATATATAAACATTATATAAATACAGTAGTCCCTCGTTTATCGCGGGGCATCCGTCCCTGCGATAAGTGAAAAAACATATATACAACAAATATATATATATATATATATATAACAAATATATATATATATATATGAAACACTTCCCACACTCTTGCAATATTCTAAACAATGTTTCTAAACTCTAAACGCTCTAAAAGAGCACAGCATGTCATGATTTCAGCTTCCTGCTTCCTCTGCTCTTTGCCACCTGCAAGTGCTCTTGGCCACGCCCACTTCTCCACTCTGCACGGAGGACAGCTGATCAGCTGCAGCGGGAAGTTTATCCTGCAGTATGAGCTGCACAAAAGGTGCAGGAGGTGCTAAATAATAAAAAATAACTTATTTTAAATAAAAATCCCATGCCGATCGTGCGGCTCATCCATCAATCAGCAAATTGTGTGTCATGTCAAGTCTTATTTTGAAAAAACGTGATAAAGCGAGCCCATGATAAACGAACCGCGAAGTAGCGAGGGACTAGTATACATTATATACACACATATACATGTACATACACTCTTATAACGATTGCGGCTATACCCAGATATAAGGACCAAATGGAATTTACAGTGTTTTTTTATGTGATAAATTATACAATAAGCAAAGGACGGGACTGGAATCCTGAAGAGCAAAGGGGTGATTAGGAATCTTGTAGTCAAGGGTGATAATATTGTTCATCTTCCTTACGATGGAGGTCGGGGTCGGACGTGGGGAAGGCTGACCCAAATGGTTCCACAGAGGAGGAGTCAGGAAACAGGGGGACATCAAGGGTAACTCACTGGAGGCGCAGAGAGAAATACAAATCATTAACATTTGGTTTTAAACACGAGTAAAAGGCTAGAACAAGACTACTGTTGGCAGGTAATGCTCCAGCGCTGGCTGAATGTCTCCTGCAGCCTTTCATGCTCCTCATGCTCATCAAGTCGATGATCCTCAGGTGTAGCTAACCAGAGTCTGACTGTGGGTGCAGGAGCTGACAGAGCAGAACTCCCACAACTCTTGAAGAATCCCTGGCTTTTAATGATGTTTTATTGGTCAGAGAAAATATTTTGTATTTGCTCGGCTGAACTGGTTTTAAATGTCCATGACGTGTCAACGAGGTGAAGCCAAACTTGGATGTTCTTGCTCGCACAGCAACTCATGGAGCGACTGAAGAGGATTTCAAAGCTCCCTCATCGCCTGCGACCGGTGCAGAGCAGCAAAGTGAGTGCATTTATTTCAGTAATAATTACCCATCATGCTTCAGTCCTTCCCAGCACAGTTTCACCTGTTTGTCCATTACATGTAACACTATGAAATAAATGAACATAAGAAAGAAGCACTAATCTGTAATCTAACGAGCAGAAACTACAGTTCATGCTTTCAAACAGTAAAATGTGAAATAGACAATTCACAACTAGAGAAATTGCATTTCCTGCAAAAATGCAGTGTGAGTGCTTATTGCTGAATAACTTGCTGAAAAACAGCTGAAATTAGCTCAAAAACATGATGAGTTTTAGCTGAAAAGGAAGAACAAGCCCCACTTAAGAAAGCAGAAAAAACACATATATGCTGACTTATGTTTAAATAAGAAGAAATGAGCATAGGAATTTGAAATTAGCCAAAAAAAACCATGAAATTAGCCACACCAAAAAAGTACCGGTAGCTGAAAATGCAGAAAGAAGCTTAAACCACCAGAAAGACGCGGTAAGAGCTGAAATAAGCTCCAAAAATGTGGAATTAGTTAAAAATGTTTAAAAAGCATAAAACAGCACAATAGCTGAAACTAGCAGAAAAAAGCTGAAAAGAGCATAACAAGCTGAAATTAGTAGAAAGAAGTTAATTAGGCTGAAAGAAGCAGAAGTTACCATGAAAAACCAATTCATCTGAAAACAGCTGAAATTAGCTAAATAATGCTAAAAATGTAGCTGAAAAAGTACAAGCTTAAATTAGCAGAAGAAGAATGAACATGTTTGCTGAGCAATGCCTGTTGATGTTTTTATCTACTTATTTAGCTATTTTTAGCTTCTATATAACCTTTTGATACCTTCAGCTAGCCATTTGGTAGCTGTTGCTATTTTAACTTTGTTTTTTACATTTAGCTACTAGAATGCCTGTTTATATCTACCTATATTTCTACCCACTTTTAGCCACCCCTTTGCTACATTTATGTAGTTAGCCTTTTGATATTTAGCTACTAATTTATATTTTCCTGTCTTTAGCTTGCATTTTGCTTCTTTTAGCTTCTACAGCTCCGTTTTTTCCCACAGAAAATGTATTTTCATTGTTTGTTTTACTCGTTCTTTACATTCTTCTCTACAAGTTTTGTGCCTCACAGATGTTCTTCGTGTCCCCTCGTAGATCAACACGGAGTACAGGAGTGAGTTTGCTCGTTGTCTGGAGCCTCTGCTGCAGCTCGGACCACGCCGCCCTCCTTCTGTTGCCGGTTCTACAAGTGTAACAAGGTAAAACCACTGAACCACTGACCTTTGCTCTGACGATACATTATTCCAATCAGGTAATCTGTTTTAGGATGGTGCGCTTTTGCCGCACAACCCGGGGCATCTTTTACTTTCTTTCAAGGAAGGACAAAAGCTCAGGTGGAAAATTTCACGCTTGTGAAGCATCCGAGATCAAAATCCCCCAAACAGTTAGCAGGTTCAGATGGGGAGGGAAGGAGGCGCCATGCTGGGTGCCACTATGCCAGTTATTCTGTCTGTCTGCCTGCAAGCTTTGTACTCAGATATGTTTACGTAATTCACCTTACTGGAGGTCTGGGAGGGAGGCAGGCCGTCCCAATTTAGAACATTCTGCTCCTGCTGGTCCAGACAACGTTCAGGTGATGAATGGCTGAGTAGCTGTGCTCACACCCACTGGACAGAAGTCAATGACATCATACTGCTTGCAGACCTTTATTTATACAGGTTAGTTCCCTTTGAGCCTCGAAGACTCGTTTACAAGAGAGCCCAGTTACATACAACATACAGGCAGATGAGAAAAAGAGAACACGAGGATGGAGGACGTTAAAGATCAAATGTCTCAAAATCAAAACCAAACGTATCTTGGCTGTTTTCGTTGGATGTCCACGTGCATAAATTCCTGATGGATGGTTTTTTTCCACATCACCGTCTCCCAAATATTCACAGGTCTTTAAGCCCACCAGCACACTGACAACTTTTCTTTCCAACGAGCTAAACGCCCTGCCGCCGGTGCACGACACGAGGCGGGACGGCTCTGGTGTCCGGCCGGCTGGCACTATTTTTATCAGAAATTCACAGAACTCTCTTGGATTCTGCTGCAAGTTGGCACACGACAGAAGCCGGACCGTTTGGTTCCGGCCCGCTGAGGTCACTGTTTTAGGACACAGGAAGTGTCTTTTATTGACGTCACTGGTGTGAGGACAGAGGCTGGGCTTGTGTGATGGAGCGAGAAGGATTTATAGTTTAGACGGGTCCGCTGCTGATTTATCTGGAGAGGAAACAAGAGAATAAAGGACCTGTCCGACTCCGGGTAACTAAGTTTATTTTATTACAAACTGGAGATTGCAGTTTTGATGGTTAGCAGATGTGACAGCAGTAAATTTAAGCAGGATGTAATAAATTTGTCTAACTTTCAGCTATTTATTTTATACATTTCCATAAAGGATATGAATAGTGTTGGATGAGAGTGATGCTTGGCAAGTTTTCATTAAATCTTTACTTCATGGTTATAAAAGCTAATTGCATTTTCTTAGCAGTTGGTAGTTTGATATAAAACTAGAAGTATTTTATGCAGTTGGTGTCTGATGGGACGGTGCAGGATGCAAACGAGACTCATGAAAAACCAGCTGGCTATTTTTATCAGGGTTTAACACAACAGAGGATTAGTTTTATGATGCAGGCGTGTTCTTTAATCTGATTCTTTACCATACGGTCAAAGTAAACTGCGTTGGATGCTCAGAGGGCAACAGTTGTTTTAAAGTAATTTACCAAACTGACACGATTGTTAGGCAGGAATGCTGCATCATTGTCTTTATTTAACTCATATATTTTATTTATTAAAATGCCTTAATGACTGTTTGCGGATTACAGTAAAATGTGTGGAAGTTTGTGAGGAAATAACTTTGTGTTAGCAGCAGGGTGCTAACAGAAACAGACAGGTTTGAACATCTTTTTATTACATTATATAAAAATTATACTATTTCTGGCTGCAGCTCACCTGCCTTCACCTGGACTCAGCGAATCCAAAGCACATGCACAGCTTGTTATTAACAAAAAAAGCACTTTAAACTACATATGTAAGATACTTATTTCCAAATATTTGTATATATTTTTATATTGCACTTGCAAAGTCCAATGATTTTTGAAGTATTAAATATTTACTGCAGTTTTAAAGGTTGTGGTTGAATTATTATACTATATGTTCAGGGCATAAAATGGTAAAAAATACAAAAAATTATTTATTTTTTTTAGATCTTGAAACAATATAGTGTTTTTTTTAGTCTTTAAAAGCCTGTTTACTAATTTCAGACACAAGACAAAGTGGTTTTTATTGTTGATGGACACAGTTACACTCTAAATTATCTTTAATATTAATGACAAAATGGAAACTGGATGTTTCATTTAAAGGTACTCAGAGAAAACTATGAAATTAAACAAACTATGTCAAATGGTGCATTTGAAAGAGTTTACTTCAGCAGTTTTCCAGGAATATTGATATGCAATTCTGAAATGTGGGTACGCACCTAATGTAAATAAAGCACCTGACTGAACCTGCCAAAAAAACAAATAAAAGCTTGAGTCACATGATCAATTTACCTTATGTTGGCTGCAGTCTGTGTACTAAACAAGTAACAGCATCCAACAAGCGTAGTATCAAGAAGACATTCATGTGAATCTGCTGCTAAATGAAAACAAACAAATAAATGTAGAAAAAACTTTCATGAGTAAATATCAAGAATTAAATAAGGCAGTGGACCGCCACAACGGCAGAGCTCGTTATTCAAACTTATGCGGCTTTTCAAAATTTCCATTGGCCAGTAAATTTACTGGGTACCACTTTACAATAAGGCTCCCCTTATAGATGCTAATAAATACTTTATAGATACGTTATGAATTCCTCTGTAAACACTTTATAAATCATTAATAACTGTTTATTATGCATTAACGGTGACAGAGAGACAAAACTGACCAGTTTCTTGTCAAATAGTGAGCCAAGTCTGCCACTTATATATTTCATCTAGATTTGTTAAACACTTGATACTAAGTTACTACCGTGTAAGCCCAATAAGCATTTGTAAACCTAATTTTTTAAGGATATAATATTAGTTGTAGATACTTATAATGCAGTAATGAAGAATAATATTATAGACTAAAGAAATTTGTTTACAAATGCTTATTGTGCTCACAAGGTAACTTAGACTGAAATGTTTAAGATAACAATTCTAGATTAAATATCTAGGTGGCAGATTTGGCTCACTATTATAATGCATAATAAACAGTTATTAATGATTTATAAAGTGTTTATAGAGGAACTATTAACATATATAAACTATTGATTAGCATCTATAAGGAGAGCCTTGTTGTAAAGTAGTACACATTTTACTGCTTCAACTTTTTTTTGACTTCACAATTATTTACCTTTTTTCAGAATCTGAGTGTTTTTTTTAATTTTGTTTCTTTTGTTTGTTTTTTGTAAATAAAGCACATAGTTGTTAGCAGCCATTCACAAGTTTGCTTACAACATTTTAATTTAATAACACAATAACCACTGATATGAGCAAACCGATGTGCGGGTATGTGGTTGTTGTAATGAGAAATTTAACAAAATAAATTATAAAGAAGGAAATCACGAATCATAAAACCAGAAGTTGTGTAAATATTCTCTAAATAAGAGAAGAGTCATGAACGTCTTCTGCTCTCTGCAGGCTCCAGTCCCCTCTGTCGTTAAATTGCCTCTCCCCGTCTCTCAGTGAGATGCCTCAGGGCTCTGTGTTTGGGCGCAGACCCACGTCTCACAGGAACATCTGCACCAAGGTCCTGCTGGCAGAGGGCAGGGAAACGCCTTTCACCGAACACTGCCGCAGCTATGAGAGCACCTACAGGGTGAGTGGCCCAGAGGCAACAGATCGGAAACCAGTTGAACAAGTGAACAAAAACCATAAACTTACTTACGGGGTATGTATTTATTGAGGGGAAAAAAATACTAGAAAAAAGCCTCCTTTTCCAAAAAAAAAAAAAAAAAAAGATATTTGTTTTAACTTCTGTCTTAAACAGAATACATGTTTGAAACAGATATTTGATTGCCTTGAGATTTTTCTCGTTTAAATCAATTATAATACATAGACACGTGCTATAATTATCACGATCTGCTGTTTTAAATGTTGAACCCACGCGCAGGAAGCCGACGGGAGACTCCAAGGGAAAAGTAAATACTTTGTTTATTAAATAAACAAAGCAAAACGCTGACAGGGCAGTAAAAAAAAAAACTTACTTTAGGAAATGGAAGAGGAAAACAGAACATGACAGAATCCACAGACAAATGAAAAGACACAAAGACGCTGAATAAATAGATTCAATTCAGTTTATTTATAAAGCGCCAAGTCACAACAGAAGTCGTCTCAGGGCACTGAACAGAAACATTCATATATATATATAAATAATTTAACACTATTTATCTGAGGAGCAGCTTTGAGTTTAACTCCATCGCAGAACTCTCATCTTGAGCAAGCATGAAGGCGACAGTGGAAAGAAAAAGCTTCTTCATGAGGAAAAAACCTTTAGCAGAACCAGCTCAGGACAAGCGGACCATCTGCTTCGACCGGCTGGGTTTGAGAGGAACAGATACACAGTGGCAGGTCAAGAATCACATGTTAAGATAGAAATAGTATCAAATGAAAACTGTTCAATTTTAACAATTCATTTAAGGAAATGAGGTCAATTTGTCCTCTAGTAGCAGCATAACAAGCCAACCCTAACTATAGGATTTATCGAAAAGGAAAGTTTTAAGCCCAGTCTTAAAACTGGACAATGTGTCAGCCTCACGGCCAGAAACTGGAAGTTGGTTCCACAAGAGAGGAGCCTGATAACTGACAGATCTTCCTCCCATTCTGCTTTTGGAAACTCTAAGAACCGCTAATAAGCCTGCAGTCTGACAGCAAAGTGCTCTGTTAGGAAAATAAATGGGAAAATAGAGACACTGACGAGACATGATGACAAGCACCTGGGGTGATTGGCAGTGGAGACAGGTGTGATGGGAGGTAAACACAAGGAGGAGAAACACAGGGGAGTGCAGGAGAACAGAAACCCAGAAAACCCCACAATAAAGGACTCCAGTTTCCTCCCACAGGCCAGAAACTTGCATGTTAGGTTCACCGATAACTTCAAATTGTCCCTAGGTGTGGGTGAGAGAGCGGATGGTTGTTTGTCTTCTTTATGTGTATCGTGATGGATGGATGGATGGATGGATGCTCTACTGAACAACAGGAATACTGTAGGAAAAAGTCATCTGTCTGCTTTAGTCCGAGAGCCTATAAGAACAGAAGTTTAAATGTTCCAGCAGCTCATGTTTTACTTGTTGGGAGGGGAAATAGGAAATGTCACGTTTGTGCTTTTATAGACTCTCCAGACAGAGATTCAGATTCTAAAAGACCAGGTCCAGGAGATGCACAGAGATCTGACCAAACACCACTCCATCATCAACACAGACAAGATGGGAGAGATCCTGGACCGGTCGCTGCTCATCGATAACCAGATCGCTGCCCAGTACTCCACTGTGGAAACCATGAGGGCCATTTTTGAAGAGGTACGATTGTATCTGACCTTCAGCGGAGTTTAAACGAATAACTTTTATCATGCAAAAAAATATTCATACTGTGCCCTGAATCTATAAATACTGTAAATATTGTTCAAAAACGTTCAATACAAAAAAAACGTTCAATACAAAAAAAAAACGTTCAATACAAAAACAACTGGACTTTATCTTCACCAGCATGTAAATACTGTTTCATTATACTGTATTTATTCAACTTTACCACGTTGTTGCTCATAATGTATGGGATTTTTCTGTATAAATCAGCTGTCTACAGCAGATTATAGTGGAACAGATTAAATGTTTTGTATGTTTTAATGAGCTCATCGAACACATTTTGTTTGCAGATCTGGGATGAGACTTTTCAGAGGGTTACAAACGAGCAGGAGATTTATGAAGGTTTGTCTTTAATTCTTATGAACACAATTCTTTTTATTTATTTTTTTAACCAACAGTAGTTTCTCTGCTCGCTGACTGCAGCCCAGCTTCACGACTTGATGCAGCTGAAGCAGGAGAACTCTTACCTCACCACCATCGCCAGGCAGATCAGCCCCTACATCCTGTCTATCGCCAAAGTCAAAGAGAGGCTCGAGCCCAGGTGAGGTGATCCCAGACTCCAACTGATCCATCTGATCCAGCTGATCCAGCTGCAGCGGCACAAATGAGCCACCACGAGGCAAAGATTATGCACAATACGGGGATAAATGTAACAAGAACTAGTCCTAGAAAGTTTTTTAAATGATTCTGAAAAATATTCATAGCCTAAAATTGATTTATTTACAAAGTTAATATCAATCAAAAGTGAGCTCAATAACTTCAGCCTTTGTTGTTCATGTTATTCTTAATCTGAGCAAAGTTTCTGGTAAATCCGTTTATTCCAGCTCCTTTGAACAGACTCTTGATGCAGGGCAGGATCCATAAAGCACCAAGTTTGCAGTTTAATGCAAAAACATAAAAATCTATTCTTCATCTGTGATGTGTGGCATTTGATTAAAAAAAAAAAAGTACAAACAGAATTTAAAGTGATTTTCTGTCAAACATTGTAATAAATTAAAGTCTGGTATTCCTTGAAGGAACGTTCTTTGCCCGCTGCCTTCCATGCCCGTTTTAGACCAAAACTCATCTAAACCATTTTGACCAAACCTAAAATAAACAGCCATATGATGTCACACTCCGATTATCTGTTGTGAACAACTCTGACCTACAACAACACATTTTAACTCAGTTTCTGTAAAGTTGACTGAGTCATGGCCATTTTTTTTATTACTGTGGCAGCCATCTTCAATCAGGCTAACTTCAAAAATTAAACAAGTTGTAGGTGCACGCCTAATTCTTATTTTCTACAACTTTATTAAAAATGTGTTCAGTGGTTTATGGGATGTTTTGACAAACAGACCTGGGTAAAAACAGGTTGTCTTTGTTGTTGCCCAATGCTAAAAGGCGAACAGTGTCGTGCTCTGCTGGTAGCTGAACTCAAAGCGTAGACAGAGGTGGAGAACTCGGGGGGGGGTAAAATAAAAAATAGTTTAAAAACAAAAGGCTGACGTGGCAGCAAAACTTACCAAACATGGACACATTTCAAATTCTTTGTGAACTGAACCGTAAACTGGATGCGATTTGTGAGAATCGCAGGCCACTTGTGGCCCCTAGGATGCGCTAGCAGGATGGATCAGATCTCGGGGAATCATGCACGGATCAACGGTGCGTCCACCAAATTTGGACGTTTGGGATTCGTGAAGACCAGCAAAGACTCAAGGCAGTCATAAATCAATACAGTGCTGCCTGTCCCCAAAACAAATGTTGTTTATTTGAATTCGGCTCCCTGGCTGGCGTTGACAGGCCACCTTATCTCAATTCGCCAGGAAGTCCTGTAAAATTTGATGCTCTGCCCCCTCCCCTCCCACCGAGGAAGTCTGCAGACCTATCAGAGGGACCCGGCTGAATAAACATTGCATCATCAATTCAAAACTCTTGTATTCTCTCTGGCACTGTCCCAAGTCAACCTCGACACCCTAGAGAGTGTTTACAGATCTCACCAGAGGGAATTGACTGATTATACGATTCTTTTCAGAACTCTTACAGTGCCTCTGGAGTGTCCTTGGACACGTTCACCGCTCTTGTCGTCTCCCCTTCCCTGCAAAATGTCTGCATCACTATGTGCGGGGTGTTTTTTTCAATTTCAGGCTATCTCTCCTCGGCTAAGGAGTGACAGTCTGTTAGGATTATTTTTTTTGCCTCCAAATCCTGTACGTGTCACGTTCATTACTTTGTCTGTCTAAACAGGTCTCACTTGTAAATGAGTCTTTGAGGCTCAATGTGATGTATCTGTATAAATAAAGTTTGAATGAACATGGAGGGAAACAGAAAATGAGCCTTAACAGGACAATGCGGAACACTGAGACGCTGACTTGCACTGTCTGGAAAAAAAAAAATTGCCACCAAAAATATATATATATACGTCACACATTAATATTTTGTTGGACCACCTTTAGCTTTGATTACGACATGCATTCACTGCGGCATTGTTTCGATAAACTTCTGTGATGTCACAAGATCTATTTCCATCCAGTGTTGCGTTAGTTTTTCACCAAGATCTTTCATTGATGACTAGGCACTAGGCATGATGGGTGCATCACTTCACCTGCCTCTCCTCTTACCCTGATGCGCCCATCACTCTGGAACAGGGTAAATCTGGACTCATCAGACCACATGACCTTCCATTGCTCCAGAGTCCAATCTTTATGCTTCCTAGCAAATTGAAGCCTTTTTTTCCAGTTAGCCTCACTGATTAGTGGTTTTCTTAAGGGTACACAGCTGTTCAGTTCCAGTCCCTTGAGTTCCCTTCGCATTGTGTGTGTGTAAATGCTCTTACTTTCACTATTAAACACAGCCCTGAGTGCTACTGTTGTTTTTCTTCGATTTGATTTCACCAAACGTTTAAGTGATCGCCGATCACGATCATTCAGGATTTTTTTCCAGCCACATTTCTTCCTCGGAGACGATGGGTCCCCACTATCCTTCCAGTTTTTTAATAATGCGTCGGACAGTTCTTAACCCAGTTTTAACAGTTTCTTCAATCGCCTTAGATGTTTTCTCTACTTGACGCCAATGATTGGACCCTTCTCAAACAGACTGACATCTTTTCCACGACCACGCCATGTGTCTTTCAACATGGTTGTTTAAAAATGAGAAGCAACTCATTGCACCAGTTGGGGTTAAATAACTTGTTGCCAGCTGAAACATAATCACCCGTGCAGTAATTATCCAATAGGAGGCTCGTACTTATTTGCTTAGTTAAATCCAGATGGCATTTTTTTTTTTTTTTGGCCAGGCAATGTAATATTTTACCATTTTATTTATTTTATTAACCTTTATTTAACCAGGCAAATCCCATTGAGATCGCAGATCTTTTTTTGCAAGGGAGGCCTGGACCTAAAGGCGGACTAACATGCATGTTTTTGATCTGTGGGAGGAAACCGGAGTACCCAGCGAAAACCCACGCAAGCTCGAGAAGAACATGCAAACTCCACACAGAAAGACCCCCAGGTCCAACCAGGGATTAAATCCAGGACCTTCTTGCTGTGAGGCAACAGTGATAACCACTGAGCCATCGTGCTCGTATACATACACTAACAGACATTGACAAACACCTGGGGAAAAGACAATCGGGAACAGGTGGGAGTGGCAGGAACTGGAGCTGACTACGAGGAAAAAACACTAGGGAACACAAATCTTCACAAACAGACAAAGATCTAACATAATTATAAAATAAAATGCAAGTTATTGCAGGAAATAGATTTGAACATGATGTTTTTTTCAATATTTAATGTTATTCTTCTGTCTTGTAATAATCCTTCATGATGTTTGCAGCAATGGTTGTCCAGTTCTTGAACTAAAGACTCTTTTGGTGTTTTTAGTTTGATTCGATTGTTTTGGCTGTTTTTATTCCAACCTGTCAGCGATTACTGAATTGAACCATTTCCCAGAATGTAAAGTACAAAATGCTTATTTCCATTTATAATCAATCCCCTAAATAAAGTACATCATCTACTTTGCATAGGCTGGTTGAAAGCAAAAGTCAAACTTATTAAGAGGTGGGCTAAAACACGTGTTATTTACAGATAATCATGTTTTCTGCTCACGCTTGTCTGATTTTTAGGTTTCAGGAGCCTAAGGAGAGGATGGATGACCGAACGGAAACGATGCTGAAAATCTATGAAGACAGCAGCATGATGTCGAAGGAGAACAAAAACAGGTGTTTGTTCTTCTCAGCTGCACCTTTTGTCAAAAACAAGCTAAATATGAGCCAAAATAGTACCAATTTCAAAAGATTTCTTTAGGTTTGACAAAAACAGGAATTTGGGTTTTATAGTCATGCAAATGTCTCTGTGGCTTTTAAGTATTAAAAATTATTGTTTGCTGTTTAATTAAAAATCTTACGTCCGTGTTGCAAACAGGTACTTTTATTTTTTTTTGTCTGTGACAGAAATGTTTTAATTAAAGATGCTAATTGGCTGCGGTTTTATCAAAGCCATACGTTTTTTATGGTCAGAATCGATTCTAGGTTTGGATTAGAAGTGAATGTTATTTTTCTTGTTGTTGTTGTTGACAGCGACTACCAGAGCTGTGTCACCGACCAAGACAAAAGCAAGAACAGCCGGCCACTGGTGCTGGAGGCCGTGGAGCTTTCTGTCAAGAGCAGTCGAGCGGGGAGGCAGAGGGGCCCCTCGGAGGCGTCCAGTAACAGTGACATTCCCTCTTAAACACCGTCATTTGATTTCTGAACCCCCCCCTCTCCGGTTCAGTGGAACAACATCCCTCATCAGCCACAACAAGCCCAGGATGGTGTGATTTCCTCAGCTGCCTACATGTAATACAGAAGGTGACATTTTCTTCTGAGGCGAGCTCTGACACTAACTGGATGAACACGAAGGCCGGAGACTCAGAGCTGTCGGAGCGGGACGCAGTAAAAGCTGCTGCATCTGACCACTTCTGTTGAGGTTTCTGCTTGTGTCAGAAACTTGTTGAACCAGTTCGACAGCACATGTGGAGCACAGAACATGGAGCGAAGTCTGTGTCGCCAGAGGTCACATGTCCAATGGGTCATGCGTCACTGTCAAAATAAAGCAGGGTGTTTTCTGTAGTAGCTGCTTTACAAGAACAAAATGAGAATCGGATTGCCATTGTGAGTTAAGAATTATAGACTTGTAATCTTCTTGGCCTTGCTTTTACTCCAACAGCTACGGTAAAAACGAGCATCCACTTTTGATTGTAAGGTTTTACATATACAGTAGTCCCTCGCTACTTCGTGGTTCGTTTATCGCGGACTCTTTCTATCACGGTTTTTCAAAATAAGATTGGACATGACACACAATTGGTTGATTGATGGATGAGCCGCACGATTGGCATGGTTTTTTTATTTTAAATAGATTATTTTAAATTATTTAGCACCTGCTGCACATTTGTGCAGCCCTTACTGCAGGATAAACTTCCTGCTGCAGCTGATCAGCTGTTCAACATGCAGAGCGGAGAAGTGGGCGTGGCCAAGAACGCTTGCAGGTGACTGAGAGCAGAGGAGGCAGGGAGCTGAAATCATGACATTCTGTGCTATTTTAGAGCGTTTAGAGTTAGAAACATAGTTAAGAATATTACAAGAGTGTGGGAAGGGTTTAAAACACCATCTCATAAACTACCACTTACTACTTGTACTACTATTCCTACTTCACAGTTTTTCACTTATCGTGGGTCCTCAGGGTACAGACCCCCCCCCCCCCCCGAGATAAATGAGGGACTACTGTAGTTTTTAATTCTGAAAAGAAAAAAAATAATAATTATATATATATATATATATATATATATATATCCACTCGTATGAAAAATTAAAGGTTCTCTTTGCAAAATATGAAATTAAATCCTGAACTATTTGAAATAATTTGAAAGAGTTTATTCCAGTAGTTTTCCACATCTTCAGGCATGCTATTTTGAAATGTGAATCTGCATTTAATGTAAACAAACCACTTTTATCATACTTTTCTCAAGAAATCTTGATATGAATACATATCAAAACATCCAAAATTGTCAGACTTCTCTGTCCATAAATTCTCTTCCATGATCGTCACCATTGTTGACCTGTTTTCAGTCACTTGCTGTTTATGTTTTTGTTTTAAATTGCATAAAAGTTAGATTAGGGCAGCACGGTGGCGCAACTGGTAGAGCTGCTGCCTCTCAGCGAGCAGGTCCCTGGTTCAAACCCCGGTCCAGGGGCCTTTCTGGGTGGAGTTTGCATGTTCTCTCCGTGCATGCATGGGTTTTCTCCGGGCACTCCGGTTCCCTCCCACAGACCAAAAACATGCATGTTAGGCTGATTGGTAACTCTAAATTGTCCCTAGGTGTGAGTGAGAGAGTGAATGGTTGTTTGTCTCGTTTGTCTCTATGTGGCCCTGTGATGGACTTGCGACCCGTCCAGGGTGTACCCCGCCCCTCGCACAGTGATTGCTGGACATGGGCACCAGCGACCCCCGTGACCCAAAATGGAATAAGCGGGTAAAGAAAATGGATGGATGGATGGATGGATGGATGGAAAAGTTAGATTACAAATGTGCTTATGAAACTGTAAATTCTTGCTCCATCCTACCTCTCTGAGCTGCTTCACCCATACTCTCCTGCTCGGTGCCTCTGATCAGCTGATCAGCTGCTCCTGGAGGTGCCGAGGTCTAAGCGGAGGCTCAGAGGGGACAGAGCTTTTTCTGTTGCTGCTCCAAGACTGTGGAACGATCTCCCTCTTCCCATCAGACGAGCTCCTTCACTGTCCAGTTTTAAAACTCTTTTAAAAACACATTTTTACTCCCTGGCTTTTAGCACACACTGAATTTTGCTCTGCACTGTTTTTATTATTTTTATTGACCTTAATGTTTTAACAACTGTTTTTATGTGTTCAAATGTTCTTGATTTTATATGTACAGCACTTTGTGGCAGCTGTGGTTGTTTTAAAGGGCTTTATAAATAAAGTATTATTATTATTATTATTAATTTAAGTTCACATTATCCATAGTTATGTTGATAATATTGTGCAGATGTTGTTCATTTTTTTAAAGTCTTTTTATTGAGTTTATTTGTTTGTTTGTTGTTTTTACACAACAAAAAGAGAAAAGAAAGTAGAACATAGAACAAATACCCTCCCACACAGAAAAGATTTTGTTTCTTACTTCATACATTTGCGACCAAATTATAAGATTGCAACGAGTACTTTTAAACTGAAACACATATAATTTATCAGTTTCAAATAATTCACTTTGCTGAAGCAAACTGATAAAACGAAAAAATTATTACATCTCACATTTCATTAACTTGTGAAATCAGCTTGAGCTGACTCAACTAACTTGAGATTATAATCTTTGTGACATCCAGCCTCTTAAATTAGGGTTACGGTTAATTAATGCTGAACAGGATTGTGACGCTTTTTGTTTTTTCAAAGCTCCTTTAGTTGATTTCACATTTCAATTAGGGATGATTCGGTGGCTACCAGTACCGTCACCTCAATCCAGGCCCCAACCACCAACCATCCACCACCGTGCTTGACACTTGCAGTGTTAAACACAGTGGTCTTGGTTTGATTTTAAATTACAGCGTGTGTATAAAACCAAACGCCTCTACTTTGGTCTTTTTGCCTGAAGGACTAAAAAGTCTTGTAATTTAAATGATGTTTTATTTCATGGAAAAACAGGATGTAGGTCAGTTTTGTCTTTATTTCACTTCTGCCATGAAATTGTATCCAAACATTTCGGCCTGTAGAGTAACAGCTTTGTCTTTTTATCCTCTTTTGGTGTGACCTTGTTAAGAAACTTCTACTAGAAGATCAGCAACGGACTTGAATAAATTATAGATCATCTTCTTTCGGTTTTTCCCTCGTCCTCCTCCATCTCACTCTGTCCTCACTCCAGCTACCCCCATGTCCTCTCTAACTGCATCCATATGTCTCCTCATTGTCTTTTTCCTGGCAGCTGCATTTCTAACATCCTTCTGCCAATATACCCACTGTCCCTCCTCTGGACATGTCCAAACCATCTCAGTCTGGCCTCGCTAACTTTATCTCCCAGTAGGCCTGTGGCAATAAACAATAAATCAATTAATCGCATGTTAAATGAAAATTATTGACCTCATTTTCATTTATCGGCTTTATCGTTTCTTCGTGTCTCTCTCGTTCTACTGAAGACACTGGATGACAAAAGGCTCAACTCCTGTGCTCTTCACTGATCTCTCCCTTTCTCTTTAAAATCCATTTTAAATCATTCAAAATTGTGTTTTTAGGTCATTAAAAGCACCTAAGCTGAGAAGCTAAGCTACGAGCTAAGCTAATAGGCCGACCTCGGGGAAAAAAAAAAACTCCGTCTTGTCGAAGCTCCAAAATTCACGGTTGAAACCCGTGCATTTGTGTAAAAACTTGTTTTTCTCTGCAAAGAGAAGCTGAGAACTTGTTTACTGATTTTTTATTAAAAGCTTTGTGTGAAAAATGCGACGCTAAAGAGCTCAAACCACAACAAGCATCTGCTATTTTGAGAACCGAAGAGAGACAGCCCATGTCATGTCAGGGGGCCTCCCTCCCATTTTTCTTAAAGAGACACGCTGCTTTCTCCCTCACTATCCATCTTTCGGCAGTCTTATACTGCCATCCAGTGGTTGAAAAAAAGCCACTACACACAAAAATTAACCATAATTTATTCTTAAATTAGACAATTACTATTGTCAAATTTCAAACAATATAATCGTTTATCGCAATAATTTCTGAGACAATTAATCGCCCAGCAAAATTTGTTATCGTGACAGGCCCATCACCCAGTCCTTCAAGCTGTACCTCAGATGATCTCATTCCTAATCTTATCCATCCTTGTCACTCCTAAGGAAAACCTCAACATCTTCATTTCTGCCACTTCCAGTTCTTTCTCCTGTCCTTTTGTCCATGTCTCTGTCTCCAGACCATCAACGTAGCTGGTCTCACCACTATGTTGCAATATTTTCTCCATATGGACTCACAGTTTTGGTGGCTATTTTGTAACCCTTCCCAGACTGTAGTGGATGTTGATACTCTTTAGTTTTGCTCCAGAGTAGCAAACAGACAACACAGATAAATGCTCCCATATACTGATTTACATTATTCAGTATCACTCGCTTCTTTCACTCTGAATTCCTGTGGAAACAGTAAGGTTACTTGTATATTGTGCATGTTTTCAAGCTTCTTTCTAGTTTTTGTTAAGTACATAGTGGTCCAGTGAAACAGCTCATGTGTTGTCACTCTTCTGAAGTCGACTTTAACCATGTATAAGACCCGGTAAGATCCAGATTTTGACCTAAAGTGTAAATAAAATAGTCTAAAAAGAAGAAAGAATTAAAGTGGTGCTATTTCTTTTACCATTCGTTTGCCATCTTCACAGTGTTTGCTCCGCAAGAAGGCGGCTTTAATCTAACCAGTACTCCTCATTTCTTCTCCTTTTCCTCTTTTATATGCACAACATATCCCCTCCACAGCAGCTGATGCATGAAGGTGTTTACTTTCTGCAGCACAGGCAGGGTCATCTGGAGGAGTAGCCTTGGCTCATTAGAAAAACTGAAATTTCAAATAAATTTAGCAGATGGAATTGCAGAGTGGAAAGATAAATCTGAGTTTTTTTTTTTTTTTTTTACCGATTCAAAACTCACAACTCAGCACATAACGGTAATTCAAGGTGAAACGTCCCCACAGCACGGAAACGAGGGTGGCCTCTATTCT